TCATTGCATGTTGAACCTGTCTTTTGTTAAACATCAGCTATTGCCTGGCTATTTCTCACCATGCTGTTTTTATCAATTCTGTCTTAGGTCTGCTTCTTTTGTTGTTTCTTTTCTGTGCCTTCATTCTCAAAATGTATTGCATTTAGCTGCTGACACAGTTACTCATCTTCTAAAGTCCACAGTATTCCCTAAGTCTTTTTTTGCCCCCTCATCTTCAGTGTTTCTCTGATTTAACTGTTCCATTTTGTTTTGACTTTTGATTATCCCAGGGTCCGATTGGTATGGATGGAAAGCTGGTAGGTGATTTGTTCAAAACCAGTGTAATTTAGGTCTTTCACGTATTCCCCTCTTTGCTTTTTAAAATTACGTATGCCGAAATGTATATTAGTCAAATACTGGCTTCCTTCAGCATACCTTAACCTAGCAGTAGCAATCCAGTAGCATGGATTTTTAATAGGTTGCTGAAAAGCCACTTCAATATTTTTTGCCTGTGCAGGGAAATGGAGGTCAGTCCTGCTTCTCCTATTCACTTATCATTTTCTGTCTGAATTAGATTGGAAGGCAGATGTTCCTCCTTGGGTGCTCTGTCCAAGGGTAATTTTGTGGTGCCTTTCAAACAGCAGGATACCACTTCTGACTACATTTCTGCGACTCTTCCTTCTTTCACAAATTCTTAATTTTTGTGTTTTAATTTCTGTGCCTGAATTGTGTTGGCTGATTAAATCTGAACAGCCTCGTGTACCATAATAAATGCATTTGTGTGATATTCCAGATATTCGTTAGGGGTATGCTGCTTGAATTAAGTTCTAAATAACATTTAATTTTATACAATGCATTTGTTGATGCATTTTTACTTGTGTGTATATTTGTATAGCTTTAGGTTTAGATATATGAGCCTGAAAGTTTATGTTCCCAGCTCCTTAGAGATTAACACTGTGGCAAAGGTGTGAAAATCCAGTTTTGGCACTTTCTCTTGCTGTTCCTTTTGCTCCCTCTCTTTTCTCCCTTCCCAGGGCACCCCTTTTTACTGATACTCTGGATACCTATTTTCTTTTCTATACTTTTACTTACTACAAGCTCCATTTCTTTTGCAAGCTCAGCTTGTTACCTTGCAGTGTCAGCTTTCATTTTCTCCTCTTTCTCTGCTTTTTGAGATTTCTTTGTACTTTTAAGTAACTTGTTTGTAAAATTTGCAACATGCAGTCAATTAGCTTTTTCTTTATTCTCTTTTAGGGGATTGATAACTTACTTCTTGACTTTAGTTACACCATAGATATTTTCTTTCTGTTTGAATATAATTTATATATCAGCAGCTAATATTAGGTTCAATTGCTAGGAGGGGATTAATTGACAACAGTAGAAGACCTTCCATCATGGCAATTAGAATAGGTTGCCAAATCCCTTTGTTTGCCTCAAAATAGTTTATTCAGCTAGTTAAATAGGAATATAGAAAGGGGAAATGTTCTGAAAATTGAAACGATGAGATATTATGCAGCTATACTCACTGTAATAATTTAGATTAAAAAAAAAAAAAAGGCATTATTCAGTTGGGATACTCAAGTACATGAGCAATAATCCGGGGTTCAAAGTAGCAACCACCAAAATCCACCTAATCAGTAAGTGGTGGTGGGACTGATCCCTAAACGCCTGCAAAGACAGCAATTAGTTGGTAGCTAGAATCAATGAATCAATTTTAGAGTATATAACAGATTTCATTAGACAAAAATCATAGTAATGCTGACTTTTCAGTCTTGAACAGTATTTTCTCCTTGTTGGTTATCTAAAATATAGAGAAAGACTTACAGCTAAAACATTTTAATCCACAAGCAGCAGGAACTGGGGGCAATTTATGCAGCAGTGAACCAGACTGATTTCAGCAGTCCTGAGGCCATTTTGGGAACACAAGCAGATAAATCAAGATTGAGCTTGCTCCAATGAGCTATAATATCAGATTGAATTCATGTTTAGAGAGTTTTTTAATGAACACCCAAGTAACTTAATGAGCTTTATTCCTGACCCTTTCACAACATGCAAAAATGCGAGATGGCAAAATTAACAGCCCCTTTTTTGTGTCCCACACTTTGAATTGCTGTTGTGTGACAATAACCCTTTACAATTAAGAATGTCAGTGTGTTGTGATGCTTTTCTACCTATACCTTTGTTAGAAGAGCTGATGAGTTCCATAATTCAGTGCCTGCTCCACCCTCTGGGTAGTGTCGCTTCCTGGATCACTTTTGAGAAGGGAAAATTCTACTGTAACTGCAGTGGCTAGTAGGGCAAGGAGTGGATAAGATTACACAGAAATATTGAAGGATTAGGAACCATTGTAAAAACTGGAAAATAATTACCTTCAATAATGCAAATTTCCTTCCATGCTGTAGGAGCTAATAGCAGAGGGGTTAAAATCATCCTGGTTTTGAGTACTTTTGTATTCAGCATCTGCATTTATAGCTAAATGCAGGATAATTGTAATATTGGCAGCATATATAAACTAAGAGTAATGCAGCAAGTATAGTCCCTGATATCTCATAGAATTTTCTGTCTACTTGAGAGAAAATTGTCCTATAAAAATTCATTTTGCAGCTTTTTCTGTATTGGAGACATGAAAGAAGAGTAATTATAAATGCTCAGTACCAGAAAGGCAAAGTAGTGGTGCTATTGAGAGTAGAAAACACTTTTGTGGGAGCACGATTGCAACCCTCACCTCATATTCAGTTCAGGTTATGTTTCTGTTATGTATATATGTCTCTTGTATCATACATGTAGCATGTACCATGTGGACACTTAGAAATTTCTATGTCTTAGATGAAGGGGAAAAAGTCAGTTTTCAAATCTCATTGTTGAAATATATATGCATGTATTCTGTTCATTTGCTTTCTACTGCTTTAAATCAACTCTTTGTTGAAACATTTTGGTAATTTTAGACCTTCATTTAAGTTTTTGATTTTTAAATTTATATATGTCGGAGACAGCTTTAATCCTTTGGTCAAAATATATTGCAACTTTAGATATTCTCGTGAGCAAACGTTTTCTGAATTTTATGTATAAAGTTTGCAGGCACAGACCTCAGTTTAGGTAATTTATACAATTTTATTGTACTGGCAATCAGGAACAATTTTATTGTTCCTGATGATTTTAAGATCAGGTATAACATAAAATAGCTTAAAACCTGCTGTGAGGGGAAGATTGAGGTAATATATGAGTGCTGAGGAGTCTCAGTCATATTCATTAACCCAGCATGATGTGTAACTTCACAGAGCTCACCAACTCAGAACGTTTTAGCTAATACTTGAACTGCTAACCTCAGCCAGTAAGTTTGGGTTTTTTTTATATTCTCTATGGTGCAGTTTTGTTCTAAGAACAAATAGAAAACTGCAGCATCCCCAACAAGGAATACTTTATGCTGCATTCAGTGTAAAGATTAGATAGCCACAATAATTCTGTATTTTACTATTATTTCTCTGTAATGTGATTCCATATATTTAAAAAATATTTTAAAAGCTTTGTGTGAATTTAAATACCATTTTATTGTGGTTTTTAATTGGCACAAGAAATTTTATTAGTTACTATAAAAAACATTTCTTTATTTGCTTTTCATGTTGATAATGGTTCCCAGTTGAAATGTTTCCACCTCCCACCACATCTAAAATTGCCCAGAATCACAGGATGGTTGAAGCTGGAAGCTGGAACTGGTTACACCAGTTGACCTTGGAGGTCGTCTCGTGTAACTCTCTGCTCAAGTAGAGCTATCTCGAGCAGCTTGCCCAGGATCATGTCTAGATGTTTTTTGAGTGTCTTCAAGAATGGAAACTCCACAATCTCCCATGGTCCTGTGCTTGGTTAACAGTCAAAAAAAAAGTGTTTCCTGATGTTCAGACAGAAAAATTTCAACTCTCTGTAAAACTACCTTACAGCTGAAGTGGTTTTATAAGATTTAAAAGAACTCTCCATGCTCAGTTTCTGTCAACAAAAGGAAACATAGTTTCAGTTTAAGTGAACTATTATTTTAATTATCATAAAACACCAGAGGCTAAGCTAGCCCTAGGCATTTAAAGGAATTCTCTCTAAGGAGAAATATGTAATTATTTTTCTCTGTCCTTACAGTGTGAGCTGATTGTCTGGGTCATGTTGTTTATAGTCACAGCTACTGTACTGTTTGCTAAAATAATTTTTCTTCATGCAAATAATTTCTGTTAAGCACAGTAAAATAATTCATGACTTTCACCAGTTTTTCTGGTCTAAGGAAATCAGGGATAGGAATTCTGCTCTGTAAGGGCTTGCAGCAAGAAGAAATACAGTTCTGCATTGTGCAAAGGGTGCCTCTCCACTTGTCTAGGGGTGATCTAAGGGGGATGTTGATTAATAAGAGAGACTAAATATATCAGCTGTCTTCGTGGATTGACTGACAAAAGCTCATTTCAGGCCTTCCACAATTGCTGTTTTAAATACTGGGTTTATACTTGCTTAAAAGTGCGGCGCCTGTAGCAATGGCAAAAAGACTACTGTTTGTCCAGCAGTGTGTTCCTCCAGTTTTGAGACTTTGTTCTTTCAATAAGCAGTAACAATACATAATTAGCATTTCCTTAAAGCATGGAGGTGAGCCATAATAGAAAAATAAAAGAGGAAAAAACCCATAATACCTGCTCTGAATCAGCTCAGCAATTCTGGCTCCTTTCTTGCTTGAGAACTGTCAATTAGGTTTTCCTATCATTTCCAAATCATTAAGAATATCTAAAATAAGAAGTTTCTCAAATGCACTTTTGATATGTTTCTGTATTTTATTTCTAAAATCAGTTAGTTGCAAGAAAGTTCATCAGCTTGAATTAAAACACCCAAATTCAGTATCAACCAACTTAAGAGTCCAAAATCTGACTTCAATGCAGTCACTGTATGTTTTGTTCTCCTTATTAGAGAGCACCGTAACTATTTTCAACTATTCATTTTAGTTCATCCTTGTCATAACTTTCCATAACCTTTTGTTTTTCTTGTTTTTTTTTCAGGGTCAGCCTGGTCCTCAAGTAAGTGCCATCTTATTTTCTTATATAAGTAACAGTTAAATACAGGGCCCACTGAGCTCAAGTTGTCTACAAAGTATTTTACTATATTTTTTGATCCTACTGTAGTAAGATAGAAACTGGTAACCATTGCATAATTCTGTAAGAAAAATACTTCCCTAGAGAGAAATATGCCCCCACATATGGCTAAGTTCCCTCAGCTGTCTGACCAGATGGTGGGGTTAACAACATAATACTGAATAGAGCAAATCTCCTAACTATGGCTTGAAACTTTGCCACCAGACTTTAAAGCAAGATAAAATAACTTAGCAAATGTGTAGCAAATGTAATACTTCAACTGCTTATTAATCACATACTAATAATGTTGCTATAATCCAGGCACCCCTCAGTTATTTTAAATATTGCACTGCTAGCTATTTTGATTAATTAGATACACTGCTTTGAATTAGTTCTGCTTTATTTAAGAATAGTAGAACTTTGTCCTGTGAGCTGTAATTGAAGACGTAGAAATCTAAGGATGTAACTTCAGTTCTAAGGAAGAAAAAGACCATCAGAAAGGAAACATTACATATAGCAAAAATTAAATGTGAATTATTTGAGTGCTATAAAAATATGGAAGAGCAAGGAAATACAAAAAAAAAAAAAAAATTACCAATCCGGTACCAATGCCATACTTAGTGGAATCAGTTGAGAAACTCAGGCTTTTTGTATGCTCCATATGCTTTGTGGGAAATAAGCTTGGTGTGTGGAACTGTCTTAGCACAATTCAGTTGCCCAAACCAGGTTTTCTGTGAGGGCCTTTTATATTTCAGAATCATAATTGAAAGTTAAAGCTTTACCACCTTATTGAATGCCAATTTTTTTTTAGTTAAGATTTTCATTATGAGAAGCGAGCATTTATTTTAGATTGTTTAGTTTCTGAACATAATCTTCTGTTGAAAGACAGATTGATTTACAAACCCTCAAACCACTTGACCTGAATGCACAGTGTCTTTGCAGTGCCAGGCTCTGTTTAACAGAACTGTGTAAGAAATCCATATGATGCTGGAGATAACCACTGCCCATGGCACTTATATTTCACAATAGGCTCTTGATGTGTAGGCTATACAGAGAGGCATCTTCAGCCTCTGTGCTGCTGGGGATTGGTTAAGAGAGACTGTAATTCTGTCTGGCACTGTAGCTCTGAACAAGCTCTGTTGAGGACCTGAGGCTGGTTCTTGAGCCTATGGGCTGCCCTCTAGTTGATGTTAACTTGTGCTGCCACCCGTGGCCTTTCCTTCTGGGTTTGGAGCCCCACCTCCCACATTGCAGTTGCCTAATGCTTGTAAACAGCTGCTCAGTCTTCCAAGCTCATATCTCTACATGAAGTGCCCTGGGATAGCTGTAGGCAAGGAACCACCAGGGAGATGGCAGCGTGCAGTGCTGTTTCAAGGGCAGAAAGGCAGAGAAATCTCATCACGGGTGTAAGAGAAGTGAGGTGCAAACCAAAGAAAAAGCCCTCTAAAAATGTTCCCCATGTTTAAAGAGAGAGTTCTTACATGTTAACTTCAGTAATTCCTCCCAGTGGAAATGTTCACCTCTGGGTCATCACCATTGTCCTCAGCAGCATGTACCATTATCATTAACAATGCCTTTCCCTTCTTTTCAGCTCAAGATGCTCTTATTGTGTCAGGAGGATATGTGTGTACGCAGTAATTTCGACTGGCTGATTGAGTCCAGGAATAATTCTTTTGGGAGCACTGGTAGGGAAGACATAAGGGCATGAAACAGAGTTGTGTTCAGCTTTACATTAGGATTCCTAAACCCAGAAGCTTGTGTTGTGTAGGTGTTGACCTACGAGGTGTCTACGTACTCCTGGCAGTCAGTGAAGGTGAAGTCAATACTCAGTGCACCTAGAAACCTGTCCAGCTCATGGTGAACTCCTTGGGCTCAGTTACACTGTCTGCATTCAGGCATTTGTTGCTGTGTGAATTGATCCAGCGTATCCGGCCTCAGCCGCTGGCTGGTTTATGTACTCGGGCTGGAGTCTGTGTTGGGCTGTGGTTGTAGCTGTCAGTCACAGGCAGCTGTCTTGGATACCTAGGGAATCTCTCACATGACACTAGCTGTGCACATTCATGCCTCCTCATTCCCGATTCTGACTGTAGGCAGCTACTGAATCAGATAACCACTCTGCTGAATTGCCTTCTAGCCAGTGTTGACATCTACGAGTCCCAGGCAACTACATAGAGGCTGTACATTTAGAAGTTTATCCCAGAATTTCTTCCCATACAGATAAAATAAATCAAAACCCCTTGGCATGTCATTAAGTAATGCAGAAATTCCAGCCTATTATGATTTTTAACAGTTTCCCTGGTCTTAACTGTGTCTGTGAGAAATTCAAAATTTAAAGTATTGATCAGTTGGGTTAGTAAGTAAAGGCTTCCTGGCTTCAAAGAACAAAATTGCTATGCTGATTGGAGAAGCACTTAGAAAGTTTCTGGTGTTCTAGCCATGGAAGTCCATGCTAAGGTCAGGGATAAATTCTAATCATTTCTATACTCACTGTTTTATTAACCCCCATTCTTTTTCACTCTGGTTTTATAAAGTACATATTATATTCACCTAACACACACCTAATTACTGGGCACATCCTCCTATCATTTTAATTTTTTTTACTGCTTATTTTCTTCAAAAACAGATGACAAAATATAATATTGCTTCACATTTCCCCATTTTAAATAACAAGAAGCTTTATTACAACTTACAGGCATGATTTTTTTTCTTTCAGTAAAAACTTATGGGTCTGTTGTATTTCTCTGAAAAGTAAAGATCACAATAAAAAAAACATAAAGAATTTCTAGCCTAAGCTTTTAAAAAAATCAAGTCCCTTCTTATGATTTTGGTTTTCCTGCTAAAAAGAAATACCATGTAAATTGTGTTCTTCTGTTGAAGAGCAAGTAATAAACTATTTAACATTTTTGCTGAAATTAAATTCTGACTCTTGAATGACCCAAAAAAAAAAAAATCAGCTTTTTATTCTCTGGAATATAAATATATATTTAGATTAGCTTGAACCAGAAAGGGTTTTTCTCCCAGTAAATCTATACAACCAAATTCTGCCCATAGTTTCTCTTTTTTAAATAATGGAAGTATTCCTGCTTGTCAGACAACAAAGTTTAGCTTCTAGTCTCACATTAATTGTGTAAGAAATGTACTATCTGGGTAAAGAGAGAAGGCTGGCTATTTTAAACTTTTTTTGTTGTTTAGAGGTAAGGCTCATGTAAACACTAGAAGCCATGCTTTTAATACTATGGTGAAGAAAAACAAAACAACCCTTTAAAGAAATGTTGCTGAACTAAAACTATTAAAACTGTAAGTGTGGGGTAGAGTGGTGTTTTGGTGTGACTTGGTCTCAGCCAGGCAACTTTTTCCTTCTTTGGGGCAGTATGCTCTCCCTGGCCTATCTCTAGCACAACATTCTTTGTGTCTCATGTCAGTAGGCATGAGCACTCTCTGTGTGGGACTTTGACATACAGCAGCCTCACAGATGCTTCTCCTTTCCCTTTGGTGGCTGTCCAAGTCTGCATTAGAAATGAAAAAAGTGTTAATGATTGATATTTGTTTTCATGAGATTCTTGTTTTGCTTTGTGTGACACGTCCACGGACGTGATGTTGTAGCAGCCTGAAATTTCCCAGTGCCTGGTGCGCGATAAAGAGTTTCCATAGCGATTGTGGTGACAAATGTACGTGTGTCTTTTTTTCACCATCAAGCATCAGGGTCTGTGACTAGAGTATTTTTAATTTTTGATGACAGAGATTCTGATTAATGGTTAAACTGGCTATTACTGGTTTGTGCTGTCAACAGTGCTGGTGGGGACCATTTTAACTTTTAGTTTTCTGGGTTTTGTCAAAGGTCAGAGAAACACAGCAGGTCACAGGCCCTCGTTTTGAGTGGGTTTGGAAGGCAGCAGTCTAGGGAAGATATTTATCACTTCCTAGAGAACACTGTGATGGTACAGAGACTCCTAGATCTTAGAAAAGAGTATCTGACAGTAGGAAGGATGGGAAAGGGATTGTATAAACAAAGTGTATTTTAATTCCTGTTGAGCTTCCCTTTCAGTTTTGGTAGTCTTGGGTTCTGCATTCCATCTGCATTCCACAACCTGTTAAATATTGCTCTCAGTGCATGCCATTCAGTAGTGGGACAGTTGATAACATCACGTAATTGTGTGTTTTTATGGCTTTTTAAGCTATGGGCAAGGTACGTAATTTCCTATTGACCGGTGCAGCAGAGTGGTCACTATCTGTCAGATTGTTAGAGTTGGACATGTTTGTTTTTTCTGATCATCATGAATTGAGGTGTAAACTCCACATTCCTTTTTTTCTGGCAGTTTCCTCTCATGAATGCCCCAAAATTCTTTACTTGCATGGAGAGTGGAGGAAGGAGGCAAGAAATACACTTATGAAGGACAAAATCAGCTGAAGTCTGAAGCAATATTTCACTTTCAGATACACAGTGCAGTAAAGTTACTGCTCCTGGGAGAAACCCAGTGGTTGTACCCAGGCCATCAGCTGTTCTCACTGCTAAGAATGATCTTGTGGGGTATTTCTCCTAGAAACTCATACCCTATGTTCCTTTTAAACTTCTGAGGAGCTGTATTACTCAAACTGATTATACAAATGCTAGTCTGCTATTGAGTTACAAGTTGCAGGTCAGATTTTGCTGTCAAACTTTGACAATTAGTTTATTAACATTAGGTAGCAGACATGTAGAAGTCTGTTTCTTACTTTCTTTGTACGAATAACAAAGATAAATTCTTGATGCCTTTGCTGCTAATAACAATTTACTGCAAATTATGAGATCAGAAATGAATCTGAGGGCATCACATATATAAACACACTCATACCGAGTTTCATATGTGTTTAAGCAGGCAGAACTTCAGTTGCCATTCTCCTTTCTTAAATGGTAATAGCATTTGTGAACACCATTGAAATTGTGTGAGCTTTTTAGGGAACAGCCC